ATACACACACACACACACTCTCTCTCTCTCACACACACACACACATACCCTTTTAATACTCTGATTTTCTAAACATTGCCTCAGTGTTTAGCTTCTCTTTAATCACCTAAGCAATTATATTTTCTTTGTATAATTCTTTCTGTACCCTATAACTTCCTCAAAACCACTGGTTTTTCTTAGTTATCCTATTAATAAGTTTCAGAACGATGTTATAAATGTGGTATGTTCAGTCATATAAAGGAGAATAAAACTATAGGAATTCTAACTTTCAACTAAAATGTTTGCCAGAAACAGCAGTCCACTACAGATATAAACAGTTAAATTAAAAAGTAAGCTATTTTTAGAATCTCCTGCAGAACAAAGTTCAAATTCCACAGGAAAAAAAAAAAGAAATTCAAAATAACAAGTCATGGCCGGGAGCAGTGGCTCACACCTGTAATCCCAGTACTTTGGGAGGCTAAGGTGGGCTGATCCCTTGAGTCAGCAGTTCAAGACCAGCCTGGCCAACATGATGAAACCCCATCTCTACCAAAAATACAAAAATTAGCCAGGCATGGTGGTGCACGCTTCTAATCCCAGCTACTTGGGAGGCTGAGGCATGAGAATAGCTTGAACCCTGGAGGCAGAGGTTGACGTGAGCTGACATCACACCACTGCACGCCAGCCAGGGCAACAGAGTAAGACTCCATCTCAAAAATAATAATAACAATTCACTGCCTAGAAATATTTTGTGAATGCATACTGTCATCACTTTGTTGCTTTTTATGCTTTTCATTTTGTCCTGGGACTGCTGTTTATGTCACAACAGATGATTAAGGAGATGATGTTACTTACAACAAGAAAGCCTCAGATAAATCAAGGTTTAAGAGGCTGTGGAGGTCAGGCACAGTGGTTCACACCGTAATCCCAGCACTTTGGGAGGCTAAGGCAGGCAGATCACCTAAGGTGGGAGTTTGAGACCAGCCTGACCAACATGGAGAAACCTACTAAAAATACAAAATTAGCCGAGCGTGGTGGTGCATGCCTGTAATCCTAGCTACTTGGAAGGCTGAGGCAGGAGAATCACTTGAACCCAGGAGGCGGAGGTTGCAGTGAGTGGAGATCAAACTGAGCCGAGATTCTGCAATTACACTCCAGTCAGGGCAACATGAGAAACTCCATCTCAAAAAAACAAAAAACAAACAAACAAAAACAGGCTATGGAAACTAAACTGCTAATCAGCTCAACTGGAATTTTCTCTTAATAAAGAGTGACTGGTAAAACATCATTCCAGAGAATGCCATTATTAGTTCAACAGTTATTGTATCTATACTCCCTTAGCCACAACTGTTCCCTAATGGATCAAAATTATGTCACTGAATTTTAATTTAGGCTGACTGGTTCTTTTTTTTAATTTGCGACAGAGCCCGGCACTGTCGCCTAGGCTGGAGTGCAGCGGTGTGATTTCAGTTCACTGCAACCTGTTTCCTGGATTCAAGCAATTCTCCCCACTCAGCCTTCTGAGTAGCTGGGATTACAGGTGAATACCACCACTTCCAGCTAATTTTTGTATTTTAGTAGAGAAGAGGTTTTGCCATGTTGGCCAGGCTGGTCTCAAACTCCAGGCCTTAAGTCACTATAGTCACAATCTCCTGGGCTGAAGCAATCCTCCTGCCTCAGCCTCCTGAGTAGCTAGGGCTGCAAGACTTTGGCCACCACACCCAGCCAATTTTTTTTATTTTTAGTAGAGATACTGTATTTCCCATGCTGGCTCTACCTTCTGAGCTCAAGCAGTCCTCCTGCCTCAGACTCCCAAAGTGCTGAGATTACAGGTGTAAGCCATAGCGCCCAGCCGTGACTTGTTTTTATTTTATTTTATTTTTGAGACAGAGTATCAAAAACGGGGTTTCGCTATGTTGGCCAGGCTGGTCTTGAACTCCTGACCCCAAGTAATCCACCGGCCTCAGCCTCCCAAAGTGCTGGGATTATAGGCCTGAGCCACTGACCCCAGCCAGCAGTGAATTCATAAAGGAGGAGTGGAGCACCAGAACACTGAGACAAATCTGCCTGAGTACAAAGCAGTATCTCTCACCAAACAACTGAGGAAAAAGTCCTGTCACCATCATTTCACCAGTAATAGTGGCTCACTAGCAGTTTGAGGAGGTGAACATAAGGTTAGATGTGTGTGAGAATGAATAAGATTGCAGGAGATTGCAGGAAATGGGTAGTACGGTTGTGACACCTACCACCACCCACATACCTGGACATTTACTCTGTTGGGAATTGCCAAGCTAGCACAGAAGCTGATACGTTTAGCTGTTTAAATTTCAAAACAGAATCCCCTAAATTCATCATCACTAACAGAATGAAGAATTCCACTATATTCCTGACATTGTTATTCCTGATATTGGTCATTTTAATTGTTTTTTAGTTGTTTAAAAAAAAAAAACCATAATAAAAACGAACTCAGAAAAGCTTAGGGTCAGGTGGGGTGGCTCACACCTGTAACTCCCAGTACTCTGGGAGGCCAATGAGGGGGAGAATTACCTGAGGCCAGGAGTTCAAGACCAGCCTAGTCAACATAGTAAGAACCCCACCCCTGACTACCATCTCAATTTAAAAAATAAAAAAGAAGAAGAAGAAAAAAAATAGAAAAAACTTACATGTGTTTTACTCATGCAGAGAAAAGGGGAAATTTTGTAGAACTTACCCTCCATTTCTTACAGGACAAACTTTGAACTCTTTCCCATAACAATTAAAGAAATGCTTACTAATTTAGTCACAGCCTTTCTCAGCATTATTTCCCAAACCCAGTTCCACAATTTAGGCAATGTCCTGAATTTTTTTGGACTTTCCTGCCACAGTGCACTTTCACTTTGTATTGTGCATTCTGGTGTGCCATTTCCTGGCCTCGTGGAATCTTATTCAAGAACAAAGTCAAATGTTACCTGCAACATGACGCCTGACTCCCAAAGGCACTTACAAACTGGCAACTCTGAACTCTCCTAAAATGTTCATCTCCCTATCTCTTCTGTGAACTCTGTCTTATTCATAAGAGGCCGTAGAATCCCGTCCCTTAGCTGACTCAGTAATGTTTGAACGAATAAACCCTGTTCATTCACTAAAAGGGTAGATGAGGGACTCTGGGTACAACGGGAGGGGTAGAAATGGATCAGAAAGTATAGGGCTAGAAACCTAAAACCAACAAGACAAAAGGAAAAATGTGAACTATGTGAGCCACACTTTTTAAAAACGTGCATTTATGTATTAAGTAAGGGGCAGGAATCCCTGGACTCCGTTGTGTTATTTGATGGTTTGCCTCTTCCTGTTAAATGCAGAGTGCCGATCATTTGAGGCTCTAGTGTCATTCGATTTGGCTTTAATACTTCAAAGAAGCTCATTTTGAAGAAACAGAAAACTTACCTTATCTCCCATAAAATGATTTCCAATAAATTAATGGGCTTCCCTCCAACGTCACACACTCTGTCAAAAGGATAAATAAACTTAACGCCAAAATAGCTTAAATACATTACCTGAAAGAGTAACGATTCCTCTGGGCTGAGGCTGAAACCGCAAATATTTGTTACAAAAGTCGGCAGATTCCAGGGCCAAAAACAAAACATTGCCCAAAAAGTAACCCGCTGTTTGGCCCACGGAATTGCAAGTAGAAGCATAACCCACGTTTTCCCTGGACAACATAGTTAACGCCCAACCATCTACAGCAATGTCCTGGGTGGCGGCCAAGAATTCAAACAAAAAGAAGGTCACAGTGAGAGCAACCACGTCGGGTGTTCTGCCATCGGTATTTCCGAGTAAGCGGTCCACCTGAGTGGATAAATATATCATGAAGAGTCCTAGTATATACTGCGTCGGGACAAGCCAAGATTTGCGACGACCGAAGTTCTTAACGTAGACTGCATCAACTAACGGGGCCCAGAGTAATTTGAGACTGAAGGGCCAAAAGACAAAACTGAAGAAAGCTTGGTCCGTATAGCTAACATTTCTGCTTTGCAAAATGAGTGGGATGCTTCCCGCCAAGCCCAAGGGAATGCCCTGAAGCACGTAAAGAAAGAGTAGCAGCAAAATGTTGCTTAGTTCGGCCCGGAAGCTCCGTGGGGCTTTTAAGAAGTCGCCAGTGCCGGTATCCCCCAGAAGAGCTTCTCTGTCCCCTTCCCCGCCCGCTGAGTCCAGATGACTGTCATCCCAACCGCCCGGCGGTAGGGGACCGCTCTTCATATCCAGAGAGTGGCTGAAATTCCCTGGCCGTCGTTGCCGACTGCTGTCCTTGTGGGAGATGGTGGGCGACATATCAGAGACGATACAGAGTCCCGTCTGTGGGGGGCCGGGGCTGAGCGTTTTGGATCAGTCCAGTCCCAGGTCCAAGGCTGCCGCGCTGGACCAGGGTTTCGGTGGTTCACGGGATGGTGGCAGGGAGCAGGGTGACAAGGGCACTTCTTACTGCAGCCGGGAGTGCTGAAGCCAGGAGCCAGTCCCCTGGCTCGAGGCCCAGAGGAAGCCTGGGTAGGTCCCCCCTGGAACCGCGTCAAGGAGCCTGAAGGAGACCCCCCGGGCAGCCGCGCCGGGCTCGGGGCTAGAGGTGTGGGCCGTGGTGCCGCGATGAAAACCAGCTCCTATCTGCAGCGGGACCGAACGGCCGGTCTCCCGACCCACCACCTCCAGCTCTGGCCGCTACCTATGTAGCACAGAGCGCTTTCTTTATAGGACTTCAAAAAACGCATATAACTTCCTGCCTCGCTCTTCAGGAAGTGGTCCCAGTCTCTAACAGGTCCCTTCCCAGCTTCCAGAGCAAGCCAATCAGGAACACACTCCAGTGACCGAGTCCGGAAGCAATGCTTAATAGGTTCCCCGCAATCTTGGCGGCCGGAACCTTCGGGGAGGATTAACGCAGGCGCACCGTGCGGCCGGGGCGGGGCGCCGCGGTAGCTCTGGCTTTGTGACAGCGCATGCGGTTGTCTGGAAAGCGTGGGCGTTGGTCATTGGGCACGAACCGTCACGCGACAGCGGTTGGCTCCAGGCCAGCGCTGGCGGTTGAGTGATGTAATCACGCTGGGTCTGTAGTCTCCGCGGCTGTAGGTTTCGTGGTTGTGCTGATGACAGGCAGTTCCTGAACTCTAGGCTGGGAATTGTGCCTTGCTGCTGCTTTCGTGGGCCACGGGCCGTCCAGAAAGGAGGAGAAGTTTGCGAAGTTTTTGTATCAGGATCCAAGGTCGCCTTGTGCCCCAAAAAGGGTTGAAAAAGTCCTAACTGGAGAAGCACGTGCCTTACGGTGCCTACGTATTTATGGTACGAATTGAACTGCTCAAGGGGTGCTAGGTTTGTCTGCAGTCCGTTTCTCCCTCGTGGTGGAAGACTGATAGGGACACTTGGTAACCAACTCTAATTACGTTGGTGGTTGGATCTCTCGTTAAAAAGTCAGGAAACAACAGATGCTGGCGAGGATGTGGAGAAATAGGAATGCTTTTACGCTGTTGGTGGGAGTGTAAGTTAGTTCAACCATTGTGGAAGACAGTGATTCCTCAAGGATTTAGAACCAGAAATACCATTTGACACAGCAATCCCATTACTGGCTATATATACATACCCAAAGGATTATAAATCATTCTGTTATAAAGACACGTGCACACATATGTTTATAGCAGCACTATTTACAGTAGCAAAGACTTAGAACCAATCCAAATGCCAATCAATGATAACACTGGATAAAGAAAATGTGGCACCTATACACCATGGAATACTATGCAGCCATAAAAAAGAATAAGTTTGTGTCCTATGCAGAGACATGGATGAAGCTGGAAATCACCATACTCAGCAAACTTAACAAAGGAACAGAAAACCATACACCATATGTTCTCACTCATAAGTGGGAGTCAAACAATGAGAACACATGGACACAGGGAGGGGAACAGCACACACTGCAGCCTGTCCAGGGTCGGGGGAAAAGGGAGGGAGAGCATTAGGACAAATATCTAATGCATACAGGGCTTAAAACCTAGATGGTAGGGCAGGGTGCCATGGCTCACATCTGTAATCCCAGCACTTTGGGAGGCCAAGGTGGGCAGATCACGACGGCAGGAGATGGAGGCCATCCTGGCTAACACGATGAATTCCCATCTCCATTAAAAATATAAAAAATTAGTCGGGAGGCTGAGGCAGGAGAATCGATTGAACCTGGGAGGTAGAGGTTGCAATGAGCAGAGATCAGGCCACTGCACTCCAGCCTGGGTGACAGATGGAGACTCTGTCTCAAAAAAAAAAACAAAAACAAAACCTAGATGATGGGTACATAGATGCAGCAAACCACCGTGGCACATGTATACTTATGTAACAAACCTGCACATTTAGCACATGTATCCCAGAACTTAATGTAAAATTAAAAAAAAAAAAAAAGGGAACTTGTAGGCCAGGTGCAGTGGCTCACACCTGTAACCCCAGACCTTGGGAGGTCAAGGCAGGCAGATTACCTGAGGTCAGAAGTTCAAGACCAGCCTGGCCAACATGGTGAAACCCTGTCTCTACTAAATATACAAAAATTAGCTGGACATGGTGGCAGGCACTTGTAATCCCAGCTACTTGGGAGGCTGAGGCAGGAGAATTGCTTTAACCCAGAGGCACAGGTTGCAGTGAACTGAGATTGTACTATTGCCCTCCAGCCTGGATGACAAGAGTGTGACTCTGTCTCAAAAAACCAAAACAAAAGAATTTGTAGACATATATTAAAACTACCAGCTTGGGAATGAGTGAACCATTTCAGTTAATCCGAAGATAAAAGTCATTCTCTAGTTCAGGGAAGTTTTATTCTATTATCTTAGCAATTATATGTAGTAATTTATCTTTAGGTTTGGTTTGCTTTGATTTGGTTTGGTTGGGGCAGGGCCTTGCTCTGTCACCCAGTCTGTAATGCAGTGGCACGATCACGGCTCACTGCAAACTCAAACTTTCAGGTTCAAGCAATCCTCCTACCTCAGCTTCCCTTGTAGCTGGTACTACAGGCATGCACCACTATGCCCAGATAAATATTTTATTTATCTGTAGAGATGGAGTCTTGCTATATTGCCTGTAGTGGTCTTGAACTGCTGGGCTCAGGCAATCCTCCTGCCTCATCTTCCCAATGTGCTGGGATTATAGGTGTAAGCTACCACATCTGGTTTCTGCAGATTTTAAAGGCTTTCTTTTTCTTTTCTTTTTTCTTTTCTTTTTTTTTTGAGACAGTCTCACTCCATTATCTAGGCTGGAGTACAATGATGCAATCTTGTATCACTAAAACCTCCACCTCCCTAGTTCAGGTTGATTCTCCTTCCTTAGCCTCCCCAGTAGCTGGAATTAAAGATGTGCACCACCACGCCTGACTAATTTTTTCATATTTTTAGTAGACACAGGGTTTTATCATGTTGGCCAGGCTGGTCTTGAACTGCTGACCTCAAGTGATCTGCCCACCTTGGCCTCCCAAAGTACTGGGATTATAGGTGTGAGCCACCACACCCAGCCTTTAACTTTTTCTTAATTAGAAAAATTTGGGGGAGCAGGCAAGGAAAAAAAAAGAAATTTTATGAAGGAAATAGTGTAATTCTGGCTTGAGCAGAGGGGCCAATGGAAGTATATTGGTGTGTTACAAATATTTAAAATACTGTATCTGCTATATTTATTTTTCTAGCCCCTAAAACCTATGGGTTATTATTATAGATACTACTAACTATAGTTCTATTACATATATAATTATATATTAATTTATAGCTATAGTTAATACTATTAACCTTGGCATACCTACTCTATATACCTCTGGACTCTGATAACTTAGCTACTCTTACATATATTTCCTAGAGCCTCAAAAAAATCCTAGCGACATCAAGGATGAAAAGGAACATGAACTACTGAAACAAGTTATAGTCCAATTACTTTAGAATGATATTTAGAAGTTATAACAAAAATTGGCTGAGTGCAGTGGCTCACGCCTATAATATCAGCACTTTGGAAGGCCAAGGTGGGTGGGGTCACCTGAGCTCAGGAGTTCGAGACCAGCCTGGCCCACACAATGAAACCCTCTCTCTACTAAAAATACAAAAATTAGCTGGTTGTGGTGGTGCATGCCTGTAATCCCAGTTACCCAGGAGGCTGAGAAAGGAGAATGGCTTGAACACAGGAGGTGGAGGCTGCAGTGAGCCGAGATCTTGCCACTGCACTCCAGCTTGTGCAACAGAACAAGATTCCATAAAAAAAAAAATTGGTATCTATGGGTTACCATAAATTATCTCCTCAGTATAAACCCTCAGGAGTATTCTTGCATATTCAGATGGCCTTTTTGTACTTACTATATCACCATCCTGCCTTTTCAAGTATTCAAAATAAATCTCTCAGTAACTCATCATTTTTAAAAAACTCAGTTACCTTGCCAGGAGTCCAGGACACAGGATTCTACCCTGATTCTACCCTGGCTAGGAGTTTCTAAACTAAAACATCTGATCACACTATGTTAAGAGACCCCACAGACTAATCTGAATGTCTTGTCTGAAATAGTCCCAAATAGGCCAAATACAGTGGCTCATGCCTGTAATCCCAACATTTTGGGATGCCGAGATAGTAGGATCACCTGAGCCCAGGAGTTTGAGACCACCTGGGCAACATGGTGAGATGCTGTCTCTACAAAAAATAAAAAAATTAGCATGTAATCCCAGCACTTTGGGTGGCTGAGGTGGATGGATCACAAGATAAAGAGATCAGGACAATGCTGGCCAATGTGGTGAAACCCCATCTCTACTAAAAATACAAAAATTAGCTGGGCATGGTGGCACAGACCTGTAGACCTGGCTACTCAGGAGGCTGAGGTAGGAGAATCGCTTGAACCTGGGAGGCGGAGGTTGCAGTGAGCCATGATTGTGCCGTTGCACTCCAGCCTGGGCGATAAGAGCAAAACTCCATCTCAAAAAAAAAAGAAAATTAGCCAGGCATGGTAGCGTGTACCTGTGGTCCCAGCTACATGAGAGGCTGAGTGGGAGGATAACTTGGGCCTAAGAAGTTGTGACTATAGTGAGATATGTTTGTGCTACTGCAATCTAGTGTGGGCAACAGAGCAAGACCCTGTCTCAAAAGTCAAAAATAATATTACCTTTTACTATTTACAGGCCAACTAAGAAAGGCTGTACAATAGCTAACACATCTTGTATCGATCAAAAAAAGATGATTTGGCTGCACAGTGGTACACGCCTGTAATCCCAGCACTTGAGAAGGCCGAGGTGGGTGGATCACCTGAGGTCAGGAGTTAGATTGTAGCCTGGCCAACATGGTGAAACCTCATCTCTACTGAAAATACAATAATTTGCCAGGCATAGTGGTGGTTGCTTGATAATCCCAGCTACTCCTTAGGCTCAGGCAGGAGAATCGCTTGAATCTGGGAGGTGGTAGATGCCGTGAGCTGAGATCACACCACTGCACTCCAGTCTGGGTGACAGAGTGAGACTCAGTCTCAAAAAGAAAAAAAAAAAGATGAAACAGTCCATTTATTTGTTGAAGGCCTCTTGGTTAACTAAATTGACCAAACTGATCCTTGAGATTTATTCCCCTGAACAGGTTTAGGCTAAAAAATTAAATACAAAATAGTTCCCATATATGTCTTATAATATTTATGATTGTTTTCATTCTTTATGCCTTTCTCTACTACAGGGTTATCCAGAGCTGATATTCGACTGTTAATACTGCACCAAATAGATACCAAATCCCTCTTGGTCAGGTCATCTCTTGAGGAGCTAATTTTTTTTTTTAAAGAAGTTTTGCTCTTGTTGCCCAGGCTGGAGTACAATGGCACTACCTTGGCTCACCGCAACTTCTGCCTCCTGGGTTCAAGCAATTCTCCTGCCTCAGCCTCCCGGGTAGCTGGGATTACAGGCATACGCCTGGCTAATTTTGTATTTTTAGTAGAGACGGGGGTTTCTCCATCTTGGTCAGGCTGGTCTTGAACTCTCAACCTCAGGTGATCTGCTCACCTCTGCCTCCTAAAGTGCTGGGATTACAGTCATGAGCCACAGCGCATCCAGGAGCTAAATTTTGACCAAAAGCAGGTTGGGGGTGAGGAATGGGTCAGGAAATTCTGATTTAAAATATGGTACAGTCCTGGTTTAACTGAGATGTAGGTGGCAATGTAATGTGATGCCAAGTATTACACATCGTAAGCCAGCCAGTCATTCATAATATATATTCCACATCAAAACTCGCAAGGCTTTTTAGAGAAGCCATAAATAACTGAAATTGTTTTCTCTGAACCTGGAGTGGCAGTTTTAACACATAAATCCCAAACTGTTTATCACTTCTCCCTTTGAGATGCAGAGTCCACACCCCTTCCCTTGAATTTTTTTTTTTTTTTTCCGACTGGGTCTCACTCTATCTTCCAGGTTGGAGCACAATAGAGAGCAGCGGCATGATCTCAGCTCACTGCAACCTCCATCTCCCAGATTCAAGCAGTTCTCCCATCTCAGCCTCCCAAGAAGCTGGGACTACAGGTGCACACTTCCACACCCAGCTAATTTTTGTATTTTTAGTAGAGACTGGGGATGGGGGTCGGGGGGCACCTCACCATTTTGCCCAAGCTGGTCTTGAACCCCTGACCTCAGGTGATCCACCCACCTAGGCCTCCCAAAGTGCTGTGATTACAGGCGTGAGCCACCACGCCTGGTCCCCTTCCCTTGAATTTACACATGACTGACCAACAGAATACAGCTAAGGTGTTGCTGGGCTAATTTCCAGGCCAAGGTCTTAAGAAGCTGAAAATTTTAACTTTCTTTCTCTTGAGACACTCACTCCTGGAACTGGGTCCCATGAACTAAGGGAAAGGCTATATGGAAAGGAACTAAGGCCTGCAGCTTGCAGCACTGACTGAGCTCCCAATCAACAGCACCAAATCGCCAGCCCTGTGTGTGAGCTATCTTGGAAGAGAATCCTCCAGCCCCAAGTTGAGCCACCCCTGCTAATGCTAAATGAAGAGTAGAGACAAGTATTCATGGCTAGGCCATGCCCGAATTGTTGTCTTCTCAGAAGACTTAGTGGTAGTGTCCTTCCAACACAAACTGAAACATTTCTCTCCAAACCTGGGAACCCACCCCCACCAGGCTCTTAAAGTTCTTCAGCAAATGTGGAACGAACATTACTATCACAATGAAAACAAAACTGATACTGCCTGGGACCTTCAGCCCATACTGTCATGAATAGCTGGGGTTTTTTTTGCATTTTCAATTCCCCCAACTCACTTCAGTTAATATAATTTCCCCTTTTCTTTGGAAAACAAACAAATTGGTTAACTGCTACTATTAATACTGCTAGTCTGTTTTAGAAACAAAATAAAAACAGAATTTTACTGGAAGGATGTTCATGGCCTCCCAGAATCAGTGGAAGTTCAGGACACCCAACTTAGCAAAAACACAAAAATCAAGGCGACGTAATACTAGGCATCAGGAATTATAGCAATAAACTTCAAGAACATTTTTCAAAAAACTACTCTACTGCCACGGCTGTGACATCTTTGCTTCAAGTTTTTCCTAGGCTCTATTCCAAAAATTAATACTACCATCTAGTGGACCCTTCATATACCTATGTCTGTTTGTAGATTTCTTCTCTGGTTTTCCAGTCAGTTCACTAATATCTGACTTGTCTTTGATATATTCCTCAGAATTTTTAAATTGTTTATTTTTGAGGTGGGAATCAGGTTTATTGAGGTATAATTTATATCCAGCAAAGTTGGCCCTTTTCAGTGTATGGTTCTATGAGGTTTTTTTGATTTGTTTTGTTTTTGAGATAGAGTCTCGATCTGTTGCCCAGGCTGGAGTGCAGTGGCGCAATCTGGGCTCACTGCAATCTTCGCCTCCTGGGTTCAGGTGAATCTCCTGGCTCAGCCTCCTGAGTAGCTGGGATTACAGGTACCTGCCACCACATTTTGTATTTTTGGTAGAGACTGGGTTTCACCACGTTAGCCAAGCTGGTCTCCAAATCCTGACCTCAGGTAATCCACTTGCTTTGGCCTCCCAAAGTGCTGGAATTACAGGCGTGAGCCACCGTGCCTGGCCTTTTGTTTTCTTCTGAGACAAGAGTCTTGCTCTGTTGCCCAGGCTGGAGTACAGTGCTGTGATCTTCGCTCACTGCAACTTCCATCTCCCAGGTTCAAGCAATTCTCATGCCTCAGCTTCCTGAGTAGCTGGGCCACCACACCAAGCTAATTTCTGTATATTTAGTGGAGATGGGGTTTTGCCATGTTGGCCAGGCTGATCTCAAGTGATTTGCCTGCTTTGGCCTCCCAAACTGCTGGGATTACAGACGTAAGCAACCATGCCCGGCCCTATGAGGTTTTTGGATTTGTTTTGTTTTTTAAATTTCCATAGGTTTAGGCTAGGCATGGTGGCTCATGCCTGTAATCCCAGCACTTTGGGAGGCCAAGGCAGGTGGATCATGAGGTCAGGAGTTCAAGAACAGCCTGGCCAACATAGTGAAACCCCATATGTACTAAAAATAAAAAAAATAAAAAAATTAGCTGGGCATGGTGGTGGGTGCCTGTAGTCCCAGCTACTTAGGAGGTTGAGGCAGGAGAATTGCTTGAACCAGGGAGGCAGAGGTTGCTGTGAGCTAAGATCACACCACTGCACTCCAGCCTGGACTCTGTCTCAAGAAAAAACAAACAAACATACATTAGCTGAACATAGTGGCGCACACCTATAATCCCAGGTACTCCAGAGGCTGAGGTGAGAAGATTGCTTGAACCTGGGAGATGGAGGTTACAGTGAACCAAGATCATGCCACTATACTCCAGCCTGGGCTACAGGGAGAGACTCAGTCTCAAAAAAATATTTTTTTTTTCCTAGGCTTTTGGGGGAATGAGTGGTGTTTGGTTACATGAATAAGTTCATTAGTGGTGATTTCTGAGATTTTGGTGTACGCATCACCCCGGTTCTATGAGTTTTAACAAACACATAGTCATAAAACCACCACCACAATCAAGATATGGGATAGGTCTGTCAGCTCCAAAGACTACATACCTTTGTCCCCATCTGAAGTCAACTTCCCCAACCTCTGATAACCACTGATCTATTTTTTTCTCCCTATAGCTTTGCCTTTTCCAAAATGTCATGTAAATGGAATCATACAAAATGTAGCCTTTGAGTGTGTCTTCTTTTAGTCATGATGCACTGAGATTCATTGATGTTGTTGTCTCGCATCCCCTGCCTCCTTTTTTCTCCCCAGTAATACTCCATAATACTCCATTGTATGGATGTACCGGATCTACTGACCAGTTGAAGAACATTTGGATTGTTTCCCATTTTTTGTGGTTATGAATAATGTCACTATAAACATTTGGATACAGGTTTTGTGTAAATCTATCTTTTCATCTCTCTTGGGTAAACACCTAGGAATAGGATTGTTAGGTCTTATTGATATCTCTCGGTTAGGGGAGGTCCCCAAATGCTGGTGGGGGCTCTTGACATCTTCCCAAGAAGGAATTCAAGGATTAGTTGGGGAATAATAAAAGTGAAACCATAACTGCAAGATTATTACTGAGACAGTAAAAGGGATCTGACCTGACCAACTCCATCTTGCCTCAGATCTCCAAGCTGTCCTAGTTCATTCCTGGGCATTGGCCAAACTAGGTTTGGGAGGAACTTAGTTTATAGTTTGAAGCAGAAATGGTAACAGCCCTTTCCCAAAAAAAAATCCTCTTCTTGCCTGGGGAGTAGACTGCCTTTGTAGGCCTAACAGATTAGTCAAAAGATTATAAATTATGGTTTAGGAGTCATGCAGCTGGAGGATACAAGATTCTGACCCTCCCCAAACTGGTCCTGGGGATAAAAATCACTATTATAGTCTAGGTGTGGTGGCTCACACCTGTAATCGTAGCACTTTGGGAGGCCGAGGCAGGCCGATCACCGGAGGTTTGGAGTTGGAGACCAGCCTGACCAACATGGAAAAACCCCGTCTCCACTACAAATACAAAAAAATAGCTGGGTGTGGTGGCGCATGCCTGTAATTCCAGCTACCCAGGAGGCTGAAGCAGGAGAATCGCTTGAACCTGGGAAGCAGAGGTTGCTGTGAGCCAGGATCACGACATTGCATTCCAGCCTGGGCAACAAGAGCAAAACTCCATCATAAATAAATAAATTAATTAATTAAACCTAAGGCCAGCACTTGAGATATTTTGAAGACCCTGTCCTTGATGGATCAGCTTCAGCTGGCACCACCCAGACTGATAAACTGCCTCATCTGATCTTGTGCCCCCCATCCAGGAACTGACTCAGTGCAAGAAGACAGGTTGGACTCCTTACGATTTCATCTCTGACCTGACCAATCAGCACTCGAGGCTCACTGGCTCCCCCCCACCCACTAATTTGTCCTTGAAAACGCTGATCCCTTATTCCACCTGATTTTGGTGAGAAAAAAAAACAACAAAAAAACCCAAACTCTGATCCCTGAATGCTTAGGGATACTGATTTGACTAATAAAACTCTGGTCTCCCACACTGCCGGCTCTGCGTTAATTACTCTTTCTCTATTGCAATTCCCATCTTGATAAATTGGTTCTGTTTAGGCAGTGAGCAAGATGAACCCATTGAGCGGTTACAAAAGTGTGGAGGTTTATTGCAAAGAAAAAATTACACATACAAGAAAGGGGAGTGTGAACATACTCGGGAGTCACACAGCCCAATGTGAGGTTTTTATCATTATGAATTTCTTTAACCAAGGAATGGAATATTTATGAAGAATCCTGGAAAAAAGTGGAGATTTCTCAGAACTGTAGTGCCATCCAGTTTTTAACCAAATATGGGACTGTCATGGCACAGGTGAGTGTGTGACTTAGTAAGTAAATAAGCATATAATTAAGTCCTAGGTGAAACCTAGATCAAATCCAGGGCCATGTTGTGTCCTGCTGGTCTTAGCAAGTTTGGCCCACATGCTGGTTTTTAGAGTCTTATTAGCCTCTACATTATGCAGCTATTTTAACAAATTTTTTTTTTCTTGTTACTTATGTGAAACTGCTGCCTGGAATTTTTTTGTAATTTTTCTGCAACCATCCTGTATTATTCTTGTCTCATTTTCCACCCTCAGAGATTACTACTTTTTATTTTTCAGGATTGATGAGGGAGGAGGTCAATCTTATGTATTTGAATGCAACATTGGCCCTGCCTATCGAGGGTATGGAAATCTCTGACTGCTTGGTCTGAGGGTCCCAAGGGTGGAGCATCAGGAGAGTCTGAATATGAGGCAGGCACTGGCTGCAATCTTCATATTACCATTATTTTGGCATTGAACTGCTGCAACCTAGAAGACAGACTTTACAAGGAGTTTAAACAAGCAAAGACCAAAGATTAGTAGTAATAAGATAGTTATTAAAGTTCCTAGGAAAGGTAGGAACGATGTCACACTTGGTAGGTATCCTTTGATGAAGTCCCAGATGGGTTGAGTAGTGGAACTATTAAAATTATGTAGCCAGGTAGGCTGTTGGTAAATATTTTGAACTTGTAGTTTAATCCTGAGTTGTTAATGTAAGAACAATAGGTGTGGTTTATTATTCCGCAAACCACCCCCCCACCCCCCACCCCCACCCGCCCTTGTTTAGCTAGAGGGTAAAACCTCTTCTTTTTTTGATCATTTAAGGCCATGCTCTGACCCTCCTTAGGGCCTCATATAACTGCTTAGCAATGAGCCCAAATCCTGGGATCCAAATTCTGTAAAATCCTGCCATATTCAGGAAAGTTCTGAGGTTTTTTTTTTGTTAAAGTTCTGTTTTTTAAGTCTCTTTTTGTCTGATGGTCAAGTTTCAGTTTCCTGGGCTTAGGATGTATTCCAGATATTTTACTTTAAAGTTTAGAAATCTGGGTCTTGAAGCTGGGTGCAGTGGCCCATGCCTGTAATCCCAGCACTTTGGGAGGCTGAGGTGGGAGAATCACCTGAGGTCAGGAGTTTGAGACCAGCCTGGTCAACATGGTGAAACCCTGTCACTACTAAAAATAAAAAAATTAGCTTGGTGAGGTGGTGTATGCCTGTAGTCCCAGCTACTCTGGAGGCTAAGGTAGGAGAATCGCTTGAACTAGGGCAAGGGAGGTTTCAGTGGGCTGAGATCACAACACTGCACTCCAGCCTGGGTGACAGAGCCACACTGTCTCAAACAAACAAAAACCAGAAGAGGCTGGGCGAGGTGGCTCACGCCTGTAATCCCAACACTTTGGGAGGCCAAGGCAGGTGGATCACCCGAGGTCAGGAGTTCGAGACCAGCCTGCCCAACATGGTGAAACCCTGTCGCTACTAAAAATACAAAATTAGCCAGGCGTGGTGGCACATGCCTGTAATCCCAGCTATTCAGGAGGCTGAGGCAGGAGAATTGCTTGAACCCGGGAGGCGGAGATCTCAGTGAGCCAAGATCACGCCATTGCACTTCAGCCTGGGCAACAAGAGTGAGACTCCATCTCAAAAAAAAGAAAAGAAATCTGGGTCTTGGATGGAGAAGACCCTCTTTTTTACAGGAAGTTTAGGACTTGAATGGCATTTTTATTTGAGTCCTCTTCAGTGGGACTCAAATAAAATGTCATCTACACATTGGAGTATATCTCCCCCCATCCCCGTTTTTTTCCCCAAGATGGAGTCTTGCTCTGTTGCCCAGAGCTGGAGTGCAATGAGTAGCTGGGATTATAGGCATGCCACCACACCCAGCTTATTTTTGTATTTTTAGCAAAGACAGAGTTTCAACATGTTGGCCAGGCTGGTCTTAAACTCCTGACCTTGTGATTCACTCACCTCAGCCTCCCAAAGTACTGGAATTATACGCATGAGCCACCACACCAGCCAACAGAAAGCATTTTTAAGATATAATTTCAGTCTAAGTGTGGTGGCCTGAGGTTATCCTAGCACTTTGGGAGACCAAGGTGGGGTGGGCGGGGATTATCTGAGGTTAGGAGTTTGAGACTAGCCTGACCAACATGGTGAAACACATTTCTACTAAAAATACAAAAAATTAGCCTGGCTTGATGGCAGGTGCCTGAAATTCAAGCTACCTGGGAGGCTGAGGAAGGAAAATTGCTTGAGCTGGGGAAGCAAAAGTTACAGTGAGCCGAGATTGTGCCACTGCACTACAGCCTGGGCTATAGAGTGAGACTCCATCTAAAAAAAAAGAAAAGAAAATGAAAAATTTCCCAGTAATGCTTTTGCCTTTAGAGATTCTTTGGTTAGGTATATTTTGAATGTTTAACAAACAATATAAAAGCTAGAACGAGTTAGCTTGCTTTGAATCTCAGTTCTGTGGTTTACTGAACTGGGCTCAGGCTAGTTAATTTCTGTGTTTTCTCAATCATAAAAGGGTGACAAGCTTATAAAATCTAGGCCAGTCATGGTGGTTTACTCCTGTAATTCTAGCACTTTGAGAGGCCGAGGAGGATGCACCACCTGAGGTCAGGAGTTCGAGACTAGCTTGGCCAACATGGTGAAACACCATCTCTACTAAAAATACAAAATTAGCCAGGAATGGTGGTGCAAGCCTGTAAACCCAGCTATACTAGCCAGGAGGCTGAGGCAGAAGAATTGCTTGAACCTGAGAGGTGGAGGTTGCAGTGAGCTGAGATGGTGCCATTGCATTCCAGCCTGGGTCACAAGAGAAAAGCTCCAAGAAGAAGAAGAAAAAAGTATAATAATATCACCCATTATATAGGACTCTTGTGAGAATTTTTTTTTAATCATTTGTTTTTTTTTTTTTTGAGAAAGAGTCTCACTCTGTCGCCCAGGCTGGAGTGCAGTGGTACCATCTCAGCTCATTGCAACCCCTGGCTCCTGGGTTCAAGTAATTCTTGTACCTCAGCCTCTCAAGTAGCTGGGACTACAGGCGTGCGCCACCACGTCCGGCTAATATTTATATTTTTAGTAGAGATGGGGTTTCACCATGCTGGCCAGGTTGGTCTCAAACTCCTGACCTCAAGTGTTCCACCTGCCTGGGCCTCCCAAATTGCTAAGATTACAGCTGTGAGGCAACACACCTGGACTACTGCGGCTAATTTTATTTTCCAAGCATTGAACCATGTTTTTAGTTCCACATGTTCTTCCAGAACACTCTCCTTAAATCTGGGTGGGTCTTGTGATACATTCAATTAATAGAATGCAGGGAAGTAAACCTGTGTAATTTTTTTTTTTTTTTTGAGACGGAGTTTCGCTCTTGTTATCCAGGCTGGAGTGCAATGGCAGAATCTCGGCTCACTGCAACCTCTGCCTCCTGGGTTCAGGCAATTCTCCTGCTTCAGCCTCCTTAGTAGCTGGGATTACAGGCATGCGCCACCATGCCCAGCTAATTTTTTGTATTTTTAGTAGAGACGAGGTTTCACCTTGTTGACCAGGATGGTCTCAATCTCTTGACTTCGTGATCCACCCGCCTCGGCCTCCCAAAGTGCTGGGATTACAGGTGTGAGCCACTGCACCCAGCCCAACCTGTGTAACTTCTAAGGCTAGAATAGAAAAGACCACAAAGCTTCTACCTCGTGCTTGGTATCTCACTGCCCACCCCTCACCACCCACTCCCACACTCTATGTGGAAGTCCTGAGCTGACATCTAGGAAATCCAGTTAACCTGAAGTAGCTGTGATAGACCACATAGAGGTAGAGATGCCAGGAAGACTACAACTGTGGTAGCCCTCAGGTGTTTGAGTGTCCTCAGCTGTTTGAGGTATCAGAGATGTGCGTGAGAAAGCCTTCAGATGATTCCAGCTTCTAGCCCTTGAGCTACTCTAGCTAAGGCCTACTGGGGTTGGGCTTTGGGCTGTGCCAGCTGACACAACAGGGTGATGAAAAGCTGCCCCTGCTGAAGCCTGCCCAAATAGCAGCAAAATAGTGTTGTAGTTTTAAGCCACTAGGTTGGGGGTTGTTATATAGACACAGATGAGTGGAACAATTACAGACTAGCTATTTTATGGATTGTGCCTCCATTTGGGTTTGTCTAATGTTTATACATGATTAAATTCAGGTTATGCATTTTAAGCAAGACACTACTAAAATAATACTGTGCACATCTCACTGTATCCATCAAGTGACACATGACGTTGATTTATTCTTGATGTAACTTTGATCACTTGGGTAAAGACATGTCTTCATGTTTCCCCATTGTAAAGTTACTCTTTTTCCTTGTATATTTGATAATTATTTTGTGGGGAGATACTTTGAGACAATGTAAATAAAACCTGTTCCCTTATCCATCTTTCCCCCACTAATTTTAGTATCCATTGATGCTTACTGCCTAAATTTATTATTTTTATGATGGTTCCAAAATGATTTTCTAATTCAACCATTCCTTCTATGTTTATTAGTCAACATTCCATTATAAGGAAGAACTTTCTCTTCTCTCCATTTAATCATTCATTTGTTTATATTGGCAAAGACTGATATATTCCTAATCGATTCAGTGGATATGATGTTTAGTATCATTGTTTATTTTGACATATTGTTTTTGATTTGGCCAGTAAAAGCTCTTTCAAGCTGACTTCTGTGTCCTTCTGACATGTCCCCATCATTCCCTGAACATTTCCTTACTTCTGGTGCAAAAAGTTATTCCTAGTTATCTTATCTCTTCCTTGGTCCCCAAATCAGCCATTTCTAAACCAGAAGCCCTGGTTTCTCTTGCTGGAGCATGGTATTTAGAAACAAGGATTCGAGTGCTGGTTTTGCTCATTGCCATTGGGGTGATACTGTTGTCAGGGTCTTTCTGTGGACAGACACAAGTGAACACATAAAAGACAGACACAAGTGAACACATTAATACTCGCCACCTTCTGGTGAAAGGGTTATGGAATCACAAGAGGAGGAGACACGTAATGCAAGACTTCAGAGTTGTGGGGAGGGAATCAGAAATATTCCACACAGAAGATACTTATGTGCAAAAGGCCACATCAAGAAAGAACATGTCATGTTTATGGAATTGAATCAGTTTAAAATGGCTAGAGGGTAGAGTGATGGGGGCAGTGGTAAGAGGCAGGCTGCTCATGCCTGTAATCCCAACACTTTGGGAGGCTGAGGCGGGTGGATCACCTGAGGTCAGAAGTTTGAGGGTAAACAGGAGCTAGCCAAACCTACAAGTGCCTAATAAGAAATGTTAGAAGTTTGGAGTTTACCCTGAGAGCAGTTGAGGGGGCCATAAAATAATCAGATTTGTATTTTTTTTTAGGGGCGGAGTCTCGCTCTGTTGCCCAGGCTGGAGTGCAGTGGTGTGATCTCAGCTCACTACAATCTCCGCCTCCTGGGTTCCAGTGATTCTGCTGCCTTAGCCTCCCGAGTAGCTGGGACTACTGGTGCCTGCCACCACGCCCAGTAAATTTTTGTATTTTTAGTAGAGATAGGATTTCACTATGTTGCCCCGGCTGGTCTCAAACTCCTGAGTTCAAGTGATCAACCCACCTCAGCCTCCCAAAGTGCTGGGAGTATACTGCGCCCAGCAACATTTGTATTTTAGAATGGTCGTCATAAATTAAAAAAAAAAGTTGCTTGGCTCAATGGCTCATGCCTGTAATCCCAACACTTTGGGAGGCTGAGGCGGGTGGATCACCTGAGGTCAGAAGTTTGAGACCAGCCAGGCTGACATGGCAAAACCCTGTCTCCACTAAAAACACATAAAAAATTAGCCAGACATAGTGGTGTGCACCTGTAATCCCAGCTACTAAGGAGGCTGAGGCAGGAGAATTGCTTGAACCCAGGAGGTGGAGGTTGTGGTGAGCCGAGATTGCGCAACTGCACTCCAGCCTAGGCAACAGAGTGAGATTCTGTCTCAACAAAAAAATAAATAAATAAAAATAAAAACAAAAACAAAATCTCACATACCACCATAAAATAATTTTGCAAAAGTGCGTACCTCCTTCCACATTTTAACAACTCATATTTTTTCATAAGTCTAAAAGTTAATTTTTTTGTTAATCGGAGGTTGAAAATATTAAACATTTTGAAAGATGAAATAAATGACAAAACCCTGTCTCCACTAAAAATACAAAAAAATTAGCCAGACATAGTGGTGCCTGTAATAAATATTTTATGACATGATATATACCAAATCTGAAAAGTTGAATGAAATTTCTATCTGGGGGTTTTATCAAATGTATCTTGAAAAATGTATTGGTCCTAGAACTCATACAATTGCATTTAAAGGATTCAACATCACTGTTCTATGCTGCCTAAGTTTTTCTGAATTCAGGGCAACCTTATCCCTTAACAAAAATATTTATATGACAGGTAAAGAAGGAAGACCTTGTAGGTTTAAGTTGCCTCAATGTATCATTAAAAGAGGCTTCCATTTGGTGAACATGGGTCTACAGGAAGAAAAAAAAAAAAGATTTCTAGACCTCTGCTTCTGTCAAAGAGGAGGTAACTGGTACTGGATTTACCCTCCTGCCTGAAACAAACAAAAAAACTCAGACAAAATATGTGAAACAGAGCCAGGCATGGTGGCTCATGCCTGTAATCCCAGCACTTTGGGAGGCTGAGGCAGGCAGATCACTTGAGGTCAGGAGTTTGAGACCAGCCTGGCCAATATGGTGAAACTCTGCCTCTACTAAAAATACAAAAAATTAGCTGGGTGTGGTGGCACATGCCTGTAGTCCCAGCTACTTGGGAGGCTGAGGCAGGAGAATTGCTTGAGCCTGGGAGGTGGAGGTTGCAGTGAGCCAAGATTGTACCATTGCACTTCAGCCTGGGTGACAAGAGTGAAACTCCGTCTCAAAAAAAAAAATCTGTAATTTAACACATTCAAAACTGAAAAAAGAAAAACTATATAGTCATTTGAATAGCCACAGTAAAAGCATTTGACAGCACCCATACTTGACCAAAACTCTCAGCAAAATAGCAACAGAAAGAAACTTTCTCAATTTGATAAAGGGTATCTATGAAAACCTACAGGGCATTGGTGAAAGACTGAATGTTTTCTCCCTAATAAGTGTCAATGAGTAGCTGGGTGTGGTTGCAGGTGCCTGTAATCCCAGCTACCCAGGAGGCTGAGGCAGAATTGCTTGTACCTGGGAGGTGGAGGAGCTGAGACTGTGTCATTGCACTCCAGCCTGGGGAGCATGAGCGAAACTCTGCCAAAAGAAAAAAAAAAAGTAAGTATCAATGAGAAGTTTGGGAGATAAGTTTTGTTTTGAACTTGCTGAGTTTGGGGCCCAACATGACATTGATAATTGAACTGGGGATGAATATGGTTATCTGGGTCTAGAGCTCAGAAGAGAGTTGTCAAAACATAGAGCATATTAAGGGTATTTTGAAAACAAGTCTATATTTTATTTATTTATTTTGAGATGGAGTTTTCACTCTTGCTGCCCAGGCTGGAGTGCAGTAACACAATCTTGGCTCACTGTAACCTCTGCCTCCCAGGTTCAAGCAATTCTCCTGCCTCAGTCTCCCGAGAAGCTGGGATTACAGGTGTCCACCATCATGCCTGGCTAATTTTTTGTATTTTTAGTAGAGGCGGGGTTTTACCATGTTGGCCAAGCTGGTCTTGAACTTCTGACCTCAGGTGATCCACCTGCCTCCGCCTCCCAAAGTGCTGGGATTATAGGTGTGAGCCACCACCCCTGGCCAATAAATCTGTATTTTTAAACAACTGCCCCAGGGAAGAGTAAAATGAGAAAAGGATAGGAATAGAAATACTGAAGAAATCCAACACTTTTAACTCCTGAAGGACAGATATAGGACAAGGAGCAAGCAAAGGAAACAAGAGCAAGCAAGAGGAATCACAGAGATGAAAAAACAACTTTGTGGTGCATTTTAAGGAAAATCCAGTTTCAGCAAAGAGGGATGGGTCAATAGAGTCAGAAGTTGAAGAATTTAAGAATATCAGGATCCTATATTGTGTGCATGCCAACATTCTTAGCCATAAGCACAGGTGACCACTAGAATTTATTTATTTATTTATTTTGAGATGGTGTTTCACTCTTGTCACCCAGGCTGGCGTGCAATGGCGGGATCTCAGCTCACTGCAACCTCTGCTCTTGGATTCAAGTGATTCTCCGGCCTCAGCCTCCCTTGTAGCTGGAATTATGGGTGCAGGCCGCCACGCGAGGCTAATTTTTGTACTTTTAGTAGAGGTGGGGTTTCATGGTGTTGGCCAGGCTGGCCTGGAACTCTGACCTCTGGTGATCCACCTGCCTTGGCTTCCAAAAGTGCTGGGATTACAGGTGTGAGCCACCATGCCTGACCTATATTTAAAAATATACAATATATTTAACTAAGCATTAAGATAGATGGGATTTAGTCAATCCTTAATGCCAGTACACCACACCACATTCCATTCCACTGGGGTGGATGTTTATGTAAGTTAAGGCTGCTCTCCTATTGGTTTCTACACTCTTCGTTAAGATTGTGCATACAGACCAACCTAGAGAGGCCAGTATCCATGGCTTTGAAAATTTCAAAATTCCATTTTCAGTTCAAAAAAAGGTAAGAGAAATACTTGAGTCTCAGGCCCACTAGGACCTTGGGTCTTTTGTTTTTGTAAATATTTTACTAATAAACTGTCTACTCCTTCCCAGTTTGGGGAGCCCTTCCCTTCTGTACTGAGAGGCACATTATCTTACTGAGCTTCAATTTCCTCATTTGTAAAAAGGATAAGAATATCAATCCTACCTTACTGCTTTCACGGGATTGGTTAAAGATAGCGAAAGTGTTTTCTCACTGGCTCCTTAATACCTTAACTAGAGTCTGACACAAGAATGACCGCAGCAAATGTTGGCTGTATTATAATATTTGTGGAAAGGCTTTGTTAGCTGGAAGCCATCTCAAGTATTATTCTTTATACACCAATACCGATTTAGGCCTGTAGGTAAGCAAATTCAAGGTAACACCTCATCTTGATGGTTGCCAAGGGGTAGGTGGAGGGATTGCAGCCCCTTTCCCACAGACAATCCCAATAAAAACACCGCTGTGCCAACAGAGCTTCATGACCAATTTCCTGACCCAGCTGCTCACCAGATGTCCACTCCCAAACTCCCTTCTCTTTGGAAGTACTGCACCTGCTGTAGAACTTTTTGTGGGGAGCTGTATAACTTTTAAAGTTCCTAAGTGATCAGGTCCTCCAATGACGTCCTTAAGATGTGGCCAAGAAACCTTCCAAAGCAGCCTTGGCCTCCCTCATGTCCGACAACCTAAGGCCACGCCACCGGCTAAGAGTTCCGCCAGGGGCCCAGCTCTCAGGAGGCCTCCTCGGTGCCGCCAGCCTCCCGTAGCCGTCCCAGGCAGCAGGCAAATCGGCCAGCGGCAAACTGTCTTGGCTGCGGCTTCGGTTTTTCTCCGGGCCGGCGCCGGGAGGCCCCGCCTCCCGGGGCGGGCTCCTCGGTGCGAAGGCGGGAGGGGCGGAGCCGATGGGCGCCGCGCGGTCTCCTCCTCCCAAGGGCGGACGGGACGGAGGCGGGCGCCGGCCTCCGTGGTTACTTCTCCACGGGCAGGCCTCCGTGGCGGGGGCTGGGCCTGGTGTCGCGGGCCCCTCCTCCCAAGGGCGGGCCGCGGGAGACCCGGCCGGCTTTGCCGGCGGGGGCGGGCCTGGAGGGCGGGGACAGCCGCCGCGAGCCCCTCCTCTCGAGGGCCGGCCGGTTTGGCGGCGGCTGCGGAGGGTATCTGAGGCTCGGCTGCCAAGCTCAACGGGCTCTGGCTCCTCCCAGTGGCCGGCTGGGGCGGAAGCAAGAGGCGGGGGCAGCGTGCGCGCTGCTGGTCTCCTCTCCCGCTGCGCTGGGGCCCGCGCTCTGTGGCTGCTGCTCCTTTCGGCGCTTCTCTGGCGGCTGGCTCCTCTCCGTGGCTGGCTGCTCCTTGACCAGTCGTCCCTCTCAGCCTCGGCCCGCGGCGCCGACCCTTCCGGGACCCTCCCGCCCCGTCTCGTACTGTCGCCGCCACCGCCGCGGCCCCGGCCCTGGCCCCGATGGCTCTGTGCAACGGAGACTCCAAGGTCAGCGTGGGGGTCCCTGCAGCACCGCTTCCCTGCGGAGGCGAGGCTCCCGGACCCGGGAGCCACCTAGCGGGGCCCTTCCCCACCCCCTCCCCCCAGCCCGTCCGCGCAGCCCTGCGGCCCGGGCAGCCACGCGTCGGAGAGTCCCTGGTCGGGGCCTGTGGCATTTTTTCTCCTCGGGAGCGGCGGTGCTTTGTTGATTATGTCTGCGGGTCGAGGTCCGGGCGTCGGGGAGGGCATCGGCTCCCCGCGGCCGCCCCGCTGGCCCCTGCCTTCCCCGCGCAGCTGTGGGGCGCAAGAGCCCGCGAGCGCGGCCCGAGGGTGGGGGTAGGGAGGCGAGCGGGCTTGTGTGTCTGCGGGTCGGGCGGGGGCTTCCTCGGCTCCCAGCCCGTCCCTTTGGGAGGCTAGGGGCCTGTTGTGGCTATCCCGGGGCCCGCCGAAGGCAGGGCAGGTTCGGGGCCTCCTGTGCGGCGTTCTAGCTGGGCGATCCTCTGGTCTTCCCGCCACACTGTTTCCCGCCTGCCCTCGGCGAGGCCCGCTCCATTCCCCCCGCCGGCCTTGGGCTCCGCGGCGGTTAGGCCGGTTCTAGACTAGCCCCGCGGGGCTGCACCGTTTTCCCCCTCCCCCTATGTCCCTGCAGGCTCGCGTGTGGGCTGGTGGCCCCGGGGTCGCGCACTCCGTTCCCCCTCCCCCATCCTCGGAGGGAAAGAATGTGTCCAGGTCCCGCCCCCGTCCAGCTCGGTCCCTGTGTAGCTTGCTGGTTTGCGGGATAACTCTCTTCCCCGCCTTTGGGGTCCCCCCCACCTCCGGAACGCGAGCCGTGCCTGTTCGCCCGAGGGCTGGACAGTCGGGAGTTCCGGGATGCTGGAAAAGTTGCCACCTTGACGTACCCAGCGAGGAGAGCGCGTTTGGCCGCTTCTGCGCATATCCTCGTCTCCAACTCACTTTTTTCTTAGACCCTTCCTCTTTCTTTCGTCCCGCTTCTGAATTGGGCACCTTCGCTTTCACTTCTGTATTAAAATTTTCATTGGCCTGGAGTTCTTTCCGACCTTTGCTAAGTCAGTTTTGCCAGCGGGAAACCGCGCAGTTTTGAATTGCGATTTACTTCAGCAAGATATACCCCCGCCTATATGCTGTTTAGGGCCTAGCTTTAGGAAAAAATTTAATTAAATTTCATTCGGGTGGGTGGGAATATATACTTCGAGTGGGATTTGGTGCTCGACCTCAGGGAGTAGTGACTTAGGCAGAATTTTAACATTCTTTTTAAAAGGAGGTGCTCAAGGGTCCCATCTTAGAGGTCCTCTTGAATGGCTGCTTAGCACCCAGTAATCTTTCAAAAAGTATTTGTTGAACAAATGAGTCAAGATTATAAGGTAGCTGATTTTAACTCTTAAACCAAGGCACCAGTGTTGCTTAGGTCCGGGAGCTCTTTCTGAGGTTTATAAAACTAAAGAAGACACACAAACCTTCTGTTTCTGACCTCAGGAGCAAATGTAAACCTCTTTGTCCAGCTCTTTCCTATATACTAGTTGACTTGCAAAGCATTTTTCTGTCTGGTTTTGAGATTTACAACTCATTGGATTCATCTTTATGCTGATAAAGGAAATAACTGGTATTAGAAGGACTCACCTGACTTATGGGTTTTGAAAACTACATAGTGCATTTGAGAGGAGTATTTTCACAAAACTAAGTGGCAGAGGAAAGTGTAAGATCTGTTTCCAGAGTATATAAGAGGATTTTTTTTCCCCATAACTGATATTTTTTGTGTGTTTTGCTAGACTTGGAATTACAAAGATAATCTTATTAGTTTGGTGAATTAATTTTATTTCAAGGTTCTTTATGTTTTATAACATAATTAAATATTTTAAAAACTATGTTAACAGTTGTAGACTGAATTGAAGCATTTTTAAGAGGAACATCTGGAGAATTAACATACTTCATCAAGTCTATGATTATTGTATGTACTCTCGAAGAAAAACATCATGACAAACGATGACATGCCATTGATCTCAACATTTTAAGTAAAGAGATACTACATATGTGGAAATACCTTATATCACCTACTTTATTTTGCATATTTCTAAGAGGTCCACCTGGAAATAAGTAGGAGTCTTATTTTCCATAGCCTACAACTGAACCACCTTTCCCTTGGGAGGAAAGTGTAAGTGCTATATATAGGATTACTTTGTACATTGATTGGGCCTTTGCTGTGTGTATCCTAGTTCATAAATTAAAAGTTGGACAAGAGCTGGTTTTGATTCCTCTTTCTGGTACATTTCAGTTACCAGGATTTTCTAAAATGGCATTTTTGCATGATAGAAACTAGAGAGGGACCTAAAAGCCATAAAAGCATTTGGGTTATTTTAATTACTTTTTATACATAGTATTTTATTTAATTTTTAATTTATATATATTTTTTGAGGCAGGGTCTTGCCCTGTCACCCAAACTGGAGTGCAGTGGTGTGATCACAGCTCATTGCTGCCTTGACCTCTTTAGCCTCCTGAGTAGCTGGGACTACAGGCATGGGTCACCCCACCCTGCTAATTTTTACTTTTTGAGAGACAAGTCTTGCTATGTTGCTCAGGCTGGTCTGGAACTCCTGGGCTCAAGCTGTCGTCCCTCTTCATCGTCCCAAAGTGCTAGGATTAGAGGAGTGAGCCACTGTGCCTGTCCAGCATTTTGTTTCTTTATTTAAATTTTTATTTCCTTATGTTATTGGGGAACAGGTGTCATTTGGTTATATGAGTAAGGTCTTTAGTGGTGATTTGTGAGATTTTGGTATACCCATCACCTGAGCAGTATACGCAGCACCCAACTTGTAGTCTTTTATTCCTTACCCTCTTCCCACTCTTTCCCCGAGTTCCCAAAGTCCATTGTGTTATTCTTATGCCTTTGCATCCTCACAGAGTTGGTGATCAGCTTTTCTTTAAAAACTTTTTACTATGGCAAGGGTGTGTTTGATATAGTAACTTTTTTTTCTTTGAGATAGAGTCTCAATCTGTCACCAGCCTGGAGTGCAGTGGTGAGATCTCGGCTTACTGCAACCTCTGCCTCCCAGGTTCAAGCAATTCTCCTGCCTCAGCCTCCCAAGTAGCTGGAACGACAGGCGTCTACCACCATGCCCAGCTAATTTTTGTATATTTGATAGAGACAGGGTTTCACCATGTTCACCAGGGTGGTCTCGATTTCTTGACCTTGTGACTGCCTGCCTCAGCCTCCCAAAGTGTTGGGATTGCAGGTATGAGCCACTGTGCCCAGCCAACATAGTAACTTTTTTGAGTTTTATTAAGCCAGCATTATCAGAGTAGTGCTTTGGGTGACTTGTCAAGTTTCCTGCCCTTTCCCTCCATCTAAGGGGGAGACTCTTAGAGTAAAGTCCTATCACCTTCATTGAGAAGTTATGACTAGGTTATATGATACTTGGATGAAAGATGTTTTATAAACACTCCCTTAGTGATTGCATGTGATACAAAATCTTTAATGACATTTAATAATTTTTTTTTTTGAGACAGAGTCTTGCTCTGTTGCCCAGGCCGGAGTGTAATGGCGAGATCTCGGCTCATTGCAACCTCTGCCTCCCAGGTTCAAGTGATTCTCTTACCTCAGCCTCCCGAGTAGCTGGGATTACAGGCGTGTGCCACCACGTCCGGGTAATTTTTGTATTTTTAGTAGAGGCAGGGTTTCACCATGTTGGCCAGGCTGGTCTCTGTAACTCCTGACCTCAGGTGAGTAGCCCACCTTGGCCTTCCAAACTGATGGCATGAGCCATCGCACCCAGCCATTTCATAGTGTTAATTTTGAGTTTGGAATTTCCAAATTTAAGATTTTGAATGGAATGGGAATATAACCTGGGATTTTTATTTGGGATGCATGGAGAATTAAACAACTAGATCACCTTTTGTCACAACTTAGTACTTTTTTTTTTAAAAATAGAGACGGGATTTTACCATGTTGGTCAGGCTGGTCTCGAACCCCTGACCTGTTGATCCATTCGCCTTGGCCTCCCAAAGTGCTGGGATTACAGGTGTGAGCCACTGTGCCCAGCCAGTAAATTTTTTTCTTAGATAAAAGTTAGATTTTTTTTCTTCAGATTTTATTCCGTTAGGATACTCATTTAAAGTGGAAAAGCTGCTGCAGGCAATAGGAATTGTTTTTAGTGTCGTATGTTCTTAGACTTGAAAGTTTTGAAATTCCTCCAGGAATCTCAGATGACATTGCCTTTGGCGTGGCCAACTTGTCACTTTAGGAAAATAATTCACTCTTTTAAGAATTTTTACAAAAATTATAGACTTGTCCTATACTTACACAATGTATCTGATACTTTTTTAAGGTTAATGATTTACATTCCGAAGGATGTTGTTTAAATAATTATTTGCTGCCCAGAATAATTACTGTTGTGGTACAAGTTTCTTTTTTTCTTTTTTTTTTGAGATAGAGTCTGGTTCTGTTGCCCAGGCTAGAGTACAGTGGCATGATCCCAGCTCATTGCAACCTCCACCTCCCTGGTTCAAGTGATCCTACTTCCTTAGCCACCTGAGTAGCTGGGATTGTAGCTGTGTGCCATGCCACCTGGCTAATTTTGTATTTTTAGTAGAGACAGGGCTTTACCATGTTGACCAGGCTGGTTTCGAATTCCTGACCTCAAGTGAGTAGCCCACCTTGACCTCCCAAAGTGCTGGGATTACAGGCATGAGCCACTGCACCTGGCCTTAAACTATTTTTTTTTTTTTTTTTTTAAGACAGAGTCTTGCTCTGTCGCCTAGACTGGAGTGCAGTGCATGATCTCCCCTCATTGCAACCTGTGCCTCCCAAGCTCAAGCAATTCTCCTGACTCAGCTTCCCGAGTAGCTGGGACTAAAGGTGTGTGTAACCATGCCTGGCTAACTTTTGTATTTTTAGTAGAGATGGGGTTTTTGCCATGTTGCTGAGGCTGGTCTTGAACTCCTGAGCTCAGGTGATCCACCTGCCTCAGCCTCCCAAAGTGCTAGGATTACAGGTATGAGCCACTGTGCCCAGCTCTGGCCTTAAACTTTGCTTTTATGCCTCTTTCTAACCTAAACTGTTTAGATGCTTAAAATGAACGAAGGCGTCAGGGTTAATGCATAATTCTGAAGCACTTTGTGTATCAACAGAAATGTAATTGTTTCATAGAATTTTAAATCTTTGAATGGCATATGCAATTCTGGGTTGTGTAGAATATTATATTTTTCATGCTAATTGTGGAACAGAGATGCTTCCTTATTTGCTCAAGAATGATAGCGGTTGAAAAAATCCCTTTTCTATAGTAAAAACATAACAGTTAATTGGTTTTCTTGTTTGTGGACCCTTGCTATGGCTTCAGGTTCATGGTTTCGGGGACCTAGGAGATTATGTAGTTAAGTCTATACACTCATTAAGATTGTTATAATGTGAAAGGGAATAAGATCTCTAAACTGGGGCACATGAATGTAAAAGAAGGTGTGGAAAATTTAAATTTAGAATTGCTGCAAAATGAAATATGACATACAGAAAATTGTAGATTTACACAATACAATAAGTAAATGGCGAAACTCCTGTAGCAAGAGTGTTCAGATT